AGGAATCTCAGTGTGTTATTCACAGCAGCAGCAAACCAGCATTATCACATCGCTGAGGTAAACTGTTATTGCAGCTGGAGTAAAAATCAGAGAGGTTTCCAGGAGGAACCTCGTCTTTGCCATAAAACAACCTCCCACCATCGGGAGTTAATGTGAAGCTGCTACTAAGGCACTAGGTGGTTACTAGTTATCACAGTGATGTGGGCACTGGAAAATCATACAGACAAATAACTGCAAAAGTGTTTGACTGCTTCAGGTAGTTAGCTGAATGTTCCTTTCCTCATTAGGCTGCTGGTGCACTGTGACCACCAATACTCATTGTTTCCTTGTCAGTGTGTCTGTATCCATCTGTTGTCTCTTGTCTTATACTTAGATGATAAACTTCTTGGGGCAAGGACTATCTGTTCTGTGTTTGTACAGTGCTTAGCCTGGTGGGGTCCTGGTCCATGACTAGGGCTCATAGGTGCGACTGCAATATCAGTAATAAAATAATAACAATACAAAGAGTTTGCTACAGCACCACTGAAGTCAATAGTGAATTCCCCTTCAATTTCAATGGTGCAGAATTGGTTCTAAAATGCCAATCAGACTCCACTCTTTCAGCTGGCTTTTCATTGCTACCTCCTGCTTGGGTCCCCGCACTGCCACTCTCAGGCCTGGCCATTAGGGACTCTCTATGGGACTCTCTTTTTAACCATCTGTGACGTTATTGACATAAACTGTGACCATATAGATCATTATTGCAACCACTGTTATATATTTGCAGCAAATATTGTACAAAGGTTGTCGTGTGAGGTGTCTATGACAAGGTTATGATTTGCTGGTTATGATTATGCTATCTATATGCATGTATCATTTTTGTATTTAAAGTTATAAGTATTGGCTCTATACTGTCTGTATTTCAAACTTATGCTATGCTTCTGGGTGACACCTCAGACAATGTGGCGTCAGCACTGCCTACCCTGCTTGATGGAGGACCATCAGCTATACAACTGACCCACTGAGAGAAGGCAGATACACCTTGTGACTCAGCAAGGCATGCAGGGACATGCCTATGGACCGAACTCTAAGGTTTTTCCATGTCATGTGCTGGGTGGCTTGTATTTGGGACAAAGAAAGCACAAGCCACACAGCAAAAGGACTATAAAAGGCAGCAGCAGCATCTCCATTTTCTCTTCAGTCCTGCTTCTGACCTCTGGAGGAACCTTGCTGCAAACTGAAGCTTTGAACAAAGGACTGAATGACCCATCCCAGCTCTGGATGTACACCAGAGACTTAATTTGAACCTGCAGTTTATTCCATCACTGCTACAAGCCTGAACCAAGAACTTTGCCATTACTGTATGTAATTGAGTCCATTTAACCAATTGTAACTCTCATTTATATTTCTTTCTTTCTATAAATAAACCTGTAGATTTTAGATTCTAAAGGATTGACAACTGCGTGATTTGTGGGTAGGATCTGATTTGTATATTGACCTGGGTCTGGGGCTTGGTCCTTTGGAATCGAAAACTTTTTTCTTTTACTGGGGTATTGGTTTTCATAACCATTCATCCCCATAATGAGTCGCCCTGTTGGTGATACTGGGAAACTGGAGTGTCTGAGGAAATTGCTTGTATGACTTCTGGTTAACCAGTGGGGTAAAACCGAAGTCCTCTCGGTTTGGCTAGTTTGGTGTGCAAGGAACACCGGTCTTGGGCTATAACTGCCCTGCTCTAAGCAATTTGTCCTGAATTGATACTCTCAGTTGTGTCCCACTAGAGGCCACATCATTACACCATCCAACACAAGAACTCAGCCTTAGCATCTCACTGGACAAAGCAGAATAAATGCTCACCCTGGCTCATCTCTCCTTTTTCATGAATTCTACACCTTTCCCTCTCTTCTCCCCGAGTTCTTCCTTTGGGGTTAAACAGATTCTTTTTTAGAAGTGGGGACTTGAGCTCCGTTATTTAAATCCATATTAGGCACCAAAATTTAAGAGCCCTGATGTGCCGTGGTGCTGTGAAGCTGAGGATGCTCTGCAGCGCTGAACAATCCAATAGCTTTTATTTAGGTGCCTACATACCGATCTGGGTTCCAAAGAGTAGGTACGAGATATGAAAATTTTGGCATCAGCCTGCAAGATCTGCAGACACATGATTCTCACTGACAGCCAGGGTAGATCCAGTAGCAGAGGGGTTGCCTTTTCAGCTCCTTGGGATAGGGACCTTGTTTGCCTTTGTATGTCAAGCCTGATGCACCCTTATGCTATCGGATAATAAGTAAAATATGAAGATCATATGGTTCAAATGGCAAGTGCAATATGTGTTTCTGTGCACAGGAGAGATGACTGGGTACAGAATTGTTCTTCACACACTGGATTTATAATCATGAAAACAAGTGAATCTCCCAGAGAAAAGAAGAGGCTATTGGAAAGCAATTCATCCCAAAGCCGTTAATAGTGACAAATGTATGTGCCATCCACCTTGGCAGGACAATGCATTCCCCAAAACTGAGTCATGTGCTCAGCCAAATCAGCTCCAGATACCAAAAATAAGAGAATTTATTTCCTGTCTATTTAATCGTTGGTAAATAGCACATTTTAATTATGGCTGCTCCTATCTTCCCTGGCTTGTGCTGAGGTTTTTGTTCCACAGCCTCCCATCGATACACAAAAGAAAGTTGAACAATCTCAGAAATAATAGGCTAAAAACATTCTAGAAACTAACACAGAGTTTAGAAACAGGTGGCCTAGATTCTTAACCAAGTTCATTAGCAAATTCCACCGTTAAAACTCAATTAAAATGTATTTATATAGGGTTAGATTGTGACTGGACCGCACACTCATGCATGGAGGTGAGAGCAACAACCTCCCACTTATGCCCCTCCCTGGGCTTACCTGGAGCTTGGTCTAGGGCCTAGAGCTACATATCCTCGCATTCCCTCCTCAGATCAGGTGGGTGGAGAGGGGCTAGGACTGGAGCCTTGAATCCACCCTCACTAGTGGCCAGCAGAATGGGGTAAATATTTACTGCTGGTTCAACAACTCAGCAAACTACTGTCCCCTAGGAGCAAAGGGGGAAACTCACAGACCCTTGCTCCTGGGGTGCCACAGCTGCCTGCCATCTCATACTATGGCCTCTGTCCTTGGGGCAAATCTTGCCTTTATTTAATTATTTAGATTTGTACTACCCTGCCAACCGCAGTTCTGGGCACACTTCATAATCTCTGAAAAATACTCAAATAAATTATTGGATGTAACCTTGTCCAATGAGTCCTCACTAGATTTCCACAGTCGCTGTTCCCAGCCCTTCTCAACGCCCATCTTGTTATGGGGGGAGGGAGAAATGACTGGCCTTGCAGTCTTCCCTGAAGCGTTAACAAACTCAGTCTATTGCAGGCCAATATTTATTTGTTAGGAAGAAAATGATTCCTTCCAAATCCTCCTTATGCTTCAACAAATATAAAATGAACTTACAGAGGACAACTTTGTAGCAAAAGACAATTCACAGAACACAACACCACAATCTCAAGGTTGCAAAGCAAGTTTGGTTATAGGAACACAAAACTCACAGTATTCAAGATCAATAAAGCAGACTTCGGCATACACATACACACGACATTTTCTTGTACTCAGAGAATGAATAGCAATACTTACAGCACCATCAATCTGATGGCAAGTATTTCTTAAAGTGGGTTCTCTATCAGGCCAGCTCATTCTTCTCTCAAATGCACGGCTTGTCGGCTTCAGTATTCATCAAGGTAGCTCATATATAATTATTGAAAGTCTGTCTTAGAAGTATTAGTGTTAGATCTGCCTCAATGTACCTGGAAACTTTAGCATCCTACACCAACTATTAATATGTGAATGCTTAAAACAAGACCATGCAATGCTGTCGAGGAAACTTTTGCAATTTAGGTCACAAATGAAGCATCGACTTGCTAAGACAGCTCAAGCTCGATAGGGGCTGGGTTGCAGAGTTTATTATTATTATTATTTATTATTTGTCATTATTAACAGTCATGGACCAGGGCCCTGTTGTGCTAGGCACTGTACGAACACAGAACAAAAAAGACAGTCTGTGCCCCAGAGAACTTACAATCTAAGGCCATGTCTACACTACCACTTATGTCGGCAAAATATTTGACGCTCAGGGGTGTGAAAAAACACATCCCAGAGCGACATAAGTTTTGCCGCATAAGTGGTAGTGTGCACAGCACTATGTTGGCAGGAAAGCCTCTCCCACCGTTCTTTGGAGGTGGATTAATTATGTCGACAGGAGAGCTCTCTCCCGTCGGCATAGAGCGGCTACATGAGAGATCTTACAGCGGTGCAGTTGCATCGGCACAGCTGTGCCACTGTAAGGTCTCTAGTGTAGATATACTATGTATAAAGCAAGAAAAAATCGACGGCTAGAGACTGACAGGCAGAGGAGTACAAGCAAACAATAAGACACTTATTCTGAGTTGGTTTGGCTGCTGGTTTGGGTGGTGACACGGACAAGTTTCAGTTTATGCTCCTCCAAGTAAATCAAGAATGCCACAAAGATAATCTTCATCCACCTCCTGTATCTATTTCCGTCCCAGGACATAATACTAATAGCCATGGTACAGTCATGCACATTGTGTGGTCCTTGGGCAAACATCCTGGGAATATGTTCTTTATGCCTTTCAGGTTGGAAACAGTCCACGTGGGATCATCTGGTTTGTTGTCTGAGTTTGGAACAGCTGTGCAATGCAATATTGCCATTGACCGATTGTGGAGCATCACACTCCACTGAATCACTTGGGACGCCCGCCTTCATAACCTCCGAACAGCCTGATGCAGCCGTGATTAGCTTCCTGATTAGCAAGTTCACACCATTTTGCCTTGGAATCTACTCTGCTTCCACTGGTTCCTATTAATAAACACTTCCATTTCCACCTCCTAGGGGGTCAGTGCATTGCTCTGTTTAAGCCCTAATTACATCAACAGGCAATGACAGGCCTGGAACGTCTTTTAAAAGCAATTTCACTGACCTGCTGTACCACAGTTCAGGATGCTGGAGGGTCTTTTTCCTACAAAGATTAATGAGGGAGGAAATGAGAGTTTTCACAATAGAAACATTCATAGCAAATTAACCCAGCAAAACTACAATGCCAATAACAAGAATATGGAGAAAATCTTGGTTCCACTGAAGTAAATAGAAGTTTTGCCATTGAGTTTGATGGGCCCAGAATTTCACCATACATTTTGGGGGTCTGGAAGAGACAGAAAAGTCTAGAAAGTAGAGCTGGCTGGAAAAATTCCAACTAAACATTTTTTCCATAGGAACGTGCTGATTTATCAACGTCAAAACATTTCATGGAGAGACAAGATGGATGAGGTAATATCTTTTATTGGGCCAACTTCCAGTGGTGATACAAGCTTTCAACCTTACACAGAGCTCTTCTTCAGGTCTGGGACACTTACTCAGGGCAGGTCTACACTAGAGGCAATACATCGGTGCAGCTGCATTGATGCAGCCACGCCACTGTAGTGTGTCTGGTGAAGACACCCTGCCAACGGGAAAGCGTCTCCTGCCAACATAGTGCCAGTGTGCACTGTGCTTAGGTCGCTGTAATTTGCATCGCTCGGGGAGGTGTCTTTCTCACACACCCCCTGAGCGATGTAAGTTAGATCGACTTACGCGGTAGTGTAGACCTGCATTCAGAGTGTGGATAACTACAAGATGGAACAGATTGTTTAGCATAAATAGTTACATAGTTCAAGGGACCATTCAAGGCGAGATGGCCCACAGATCAGGATGCACCAACTCAAAGCAGCACCAGACGCTGCAGAACAACAGATGCAAAACCTGCAGACATATCTTCACTGCTACAGTGATGAACACTCCCCACAACACACTTTTCAAGATCCATGGGTCTGACACATGCCTATCACAACATGTGATGTACCTCATCCACTGCACTAAATGTCTCAATAGCAACTATGTGAATGAAACAGAAAATCACTAGGCTCTCGAATGAACTCATATAGGAAAATGATAAAAGACAAAGAGATCGCTCTGTATCTGACCTCACAGTCCTCATTCTCAAAAGTAACTTGCACAACACCTTCAAAAGATGAGCCTGGGCGCTTAAATTCATAACTTTGCTAGATACTAAAAATCAGGGGACTGAATAGAGATACAGGATGTATGGCTTTATTACAACAATCTATAACCCACTAACCACCCCACCCCCATTCCTTTCCTCCCCTATGAGAGGTGTTAATGGGCCACTTCAGCTTGAAAAGTCCATTGAAATATATTAACTACTTATTCTAAACAATCTGTTCCATCTTGTATTTAGCTGTGACATTCTGAATAAGTTTCCCAGCCCTGAAGAAGAGCTCGATGTAGCTCGAAAGTTTGTCTTTCTCACCAACAGAAGTTGGCCCAATAAAAGATATTACCTCACTCATCTTGTCTCTCTAATATCCGGGGACTGACATGGCTGCAACAACACTGGATACAACATTTCGTGGAAGACATTTCAATTCTGATGAAGTTCCAATGGAATACTGCCTGGCTACCTCCCAGCTCACCTGCTGAGCTCCTTGGCAGCCAGATATGCAGTCTGCCTGGGAATCAGGGATCCCAGCACTTCCAGGGCCAGGGGGAGGAGCGGGGGGTGGGAGGGAACGGGAAGAGAAGAAAGCAAAAGAAAAGAAAAAAGATGGGGAGAATGGAAATTATTTTTTTCTTTTGATATTATTAAAGATGGACCCAAACTAAGAATTCTCCTCTGGAAAGACCCACACTTTGGGCACATGCAGGCTTGGCTTTAAACATCACTATTCAGACCCATCTCTGGTTAGAATACTCTCATAGCTCTTCATTCATTAGCTATTTTTTCTGAAAATAGAAAGTGATTTATTAGGCACATATTTTTTTTCATGGTTACCATGTTTGGATACCACCACTTATCTGGCCACAAGATCATTCTTTCAGTGAAATGCTCATACGAATAACAGACAGTTCCTATTTTCTAAGAGCCTCGACCAAAGCCCAGCTGTTTTAAGTTTCTCTAGGTGCTTTTAAAGCAATAAAATGTCCCCTTTCTGTTCTTCCTCCAACCACATACTAATTCTTTCATTTCCTGTCAGGCAGCTGAGTTCAAATATTTATTGCACTTGTTGGGTTGAAGTTGGAGCGGTCAGATTTCTACAACAGAGCCTGACTTCCCCCTCACAGAAAAGCAGTATACTTGCAAAATACTACTGTACCACAGCTAGAGTATGCTTATTGTCTTAATATACTAGCCGCAAGATTTGATTAGTTATACAGTATCTAGCACTGTCCATGTCCAGGTTTGAGCCCTCCCTTATAATACATGGTACATTCCACCTCCTCTTGATATTAGGTGCACTGAGTATAAAAAAGAAACACTGGAAGTTGGGTTATGTCATCACAGCACAAAGCATGGACCAAATTCTGGTATTCTTTGGGTTTGGCAAGAAAACAGGTGCTTAATAAAGGTTAGATTGTGGGTGGCTCCTATGGGATCTACAGGGAAAGGCACAAGAAATTCCACCTTCTTGGATTTTCCCCTGATAGTGATCTGCCACATTTGCAGCCCCTGACCTGTCTGTGTAGAGGGACTGTTTTGTGGAAGAGCCTCTGGGGAAGCTAGGCATACCCATGGTGGCACAGAAAAGTGGGGCCATGGGCCATGCTGGGTCAGGGTGAGTACACACAAAAACCCCTGGACATTAGTGGCTGGCCCTGTCGTAAAACTCTAATACTGTAGTATTGTGGGGGGGGGGGGGGGGGGGGGGGG